CCCCCCCGGACGGGGATTTGGAGCCCAAAACGCCGGACATGTCCGGGAAAATCCGGACGTATGGTAACCCTAGTAGAATGCTTTGAAGATGTAAAATGCTATAGATGTGTTATTTTTATTGCTTCAAGGAATCCTGTTCTGCTTTTCAAACATAAAAGAGCTTTATAATTTCTGGTGCAGAAATGACTAAGGAGCTCATTTAAACAAAATCTGGGATAGTTCTGTTTTTCACATTTATATTTCTGTGCAAAGACATGGATTCCAACATGCATTCTGATAATAAAAGATAGCAACATTTGTTTATAGTATTAGTTTTAATTTTGTACTATAGTATTTCTTAGGGGCATCGGCCAAGTATCAGGACCCCATTGCACTGACTGTACAGACACAGTAAAAGACAGCCATGCCACAAAAAGCTAACAATGTAGGGCCTTGCATCTGCAAACACTTATGCATGTGAACAGTGTCACTTACTTAAATGGAATTGCCCTTGCAATCTAGCTCATGCATAAGTGTTTGCAGGATCAGGGCCTAGTTTATGACAAAGTGCAAAAAGTAAATGAGACAGAACAGAAGGAAGGGGAGCACAAGCTGTTTTACCCTAAGCAGGGGATCTTAACTCGCTACCTAGCCAAACCATTTTCAACTGGTAGTGCTCTGTAGGAGGCACAGCTGATCTGAAGGGAGGGATTGGAAGGAAGATAAGGTGAGGGGCTTTCTGGATTTTTCCCAGAAGTTTTTCCCACTCACAAGGGGTGGCTTTGGAAATCTACTTTTTCATTGCTATTTTGATTGAATTTTATAAAATTGGGTGTGCTTCTTAATCATTTCACAATACTGACCTATAGCATAAAGATATAATTTCCCTTTAAGTAACTTAACACACAGGGAAGCAGGATTGTGTGTGCATCAGAGGTTTACCTTCAGTATTTTGTATACCTTCAGGGGCCGGGCCGGGGGTGGTCGGCCGGGGGCCGGGGCCGGCACCCCAGGGCCCGAGCCGACCCAGGCTGGAGCCGCCGGGGGGGCCAGCCTGGGCCGCGCCTCCTCCCCCCACACCCCCCTTACCTGCTTCAGGCTTCCCGCGAATCAAATGTTCGCGGGAAGCAGGGGAGGGGGCGGAGACTTTGGGGAAGGGGCGGAGTTGGGGCGGGGCGGGGCGGGGCCAGGGCCCCGTGGAGTGTCCTCCATTTGGAGGCACAAAATATGGTAACCCTATGTCCAGGATTGCCAAGGGCATGTCTACACTGCATTGTAAACCCTGGTCTCTGGGACCTGGAGTAGTGGACTCGGTGTTTCCAAGCCCACACGAGTGTCCACACTGCATTGTAAACCTGGCCTTACAATTGCTGGACCTGGGTCTCACAGCCCTCCTTCATTGTTTTGTATGTGGCCACGTTTATTCTTCTTTGTTACATACCTGGATGCAGTTTTAGAAATACTCCCCAGCTTCTTTATATCTGACTCCAGGCTGCCACCAAAGACTCTGTGTTACCCCCCACCCCATTCCTGCTGCATCAGATTGGAGGAAGACCTTGATCTCTTCCCACCTGGCCCCTTCTGTAGAACATACCTTATCGCAGCGGATTCCACGTGTGACCTGCAATGTGTAAAAGAATGAAACAGGGAGCGTGAGTACAGGAGCAGCCATCCAAAGGTGCTCACTCAAAGAATCAACACATCAAAACACTGATTCTTTTCTTCCTTTAACTCTTCCATGGTTTCTTTGCTTCTCTCTAATCTTTTATTCTGTTTTACTCCCCCTAGTGTCAGTTCTTGGGAACTAAAATTCGGCAGAGTTCTTTTCCTTCAGGATTAAAGCATTCAGACAGCTGCAGAAAAGGAGCTCATAAGAGCCTTGGCAAGCAGGAAATGTTTCTTCAGCAGTTGGCCTTTCACAGGCCTTTTTTCCTCCCTCAAAGTAATTTTTAGCCAAACTATTTTTTAGAAACATAGATTTTGCAAGAGCAGAGAAATTCAATACAACTCATTAGGTCTCCGTTTTTTCTTAAGGACTCTGATTCTCCTCTCACCTACACCAGTGTAAACTGGGAGTAACTCCACTGGAGGCCAATAGTTTTACCTAGAGTTGCCCATAGGCCCGTATTATAAGAACTGTCCCTTATTTAAGTATGAGACAGGCAAAATGTTATTTAATCAGTTCGGGATGCCTTTGATCCCCTATTTCAACGAGGATTGCCTCCTGACTCATTTTTGTACAGCCTTGCTGATTGCTGGTGAAAATGTGCCATTTATTTTTTCACTGGGCTCCACTAAGGGAACACTGGTCCCAGTAAAAAAAAACCCCAGAACATAAGCTGCACGCATGCAAGGTCTGGCAGCAATACCGCACATGTCCCAGTCTCACATGGCTGGGAGCGCAGCCAGGGCGGTACCCCGGGCCCTGCTCTGTGTGCTGGGTCCGGGTTCTCAACCTGCTGAAATCGTGCTGGTTCTCTGGGAAGCGGGACGGATCTGAGGTTCACCAGCGGGGACGGGTAAAGTGTAGGGACCTGGGAGGGGTGGCAAAGGCTTCTGGGAGGGCTCCGTGTAAGGACTCATCTCGGTGCCGAGGACCATGAAGTGGAACAGACATGAGCCAACAAGGGGGGTGAGGAGCAGAGTTGTGCTAAGAAAACTGTCTAGTATTTCTGAAATGCAGTGTTGGCAATCCTAGTTACACCAGTGTAGACTGGAATGAGAAGAGAATCAGGCCCTTCGTGTCCTTTTTCTACATGCAAACCAGTGGCAGCTCTAGCCATGATCCCTGGGTGCAAGTGTGCCCACAGAAATCAGGCCTGGATGCACACTCACACAGGCAGGGCTGCCCACTGGGGAATGGGAGGGAGAAAGGGGTAGTTTGCCCCAAGCTCCCCATTTGAGAGGGCCCCCCAAATGATGGAGGGTGCCGCAGGAAGCCTCAAGCTAGCAGGGGCGTGAGAAGTGGTGGGGGGGGGGGGGGGAAGGGGGGAAGGGGATGGTGCAGCCACTGAACTGGGAGGCTACATTTGCCCCTGGTTGCAAACTCCACACTTCTAGTATTTACTCCATAAACAGTCCCTCGATTTCAGTGAGATTCACGGAACAAGGGTCTACTCAACTTGAGCACGATGGCAGAATATGGCCCATAATGCTTTGCATTTCTATAGCACCTTTCATCCAAGTGCTTTATAAGCATGAGTTACGCCCCACAGTTGCCCAGAATGACCCGTAAGGTATTATTTGCATTTTTACAGAGATAAGTGACTTGCCCCACGTCACAAAAGTCCAGAGCAGATCTGGGAATAATGCCCAGGACTCTGTGTGCAGTCATATTAGTGTAACTGAAGCCCCAAGCCCCAGCAGGTGCCTCCCGCGGGGCTGAAGCCCTGAGCCCCGGCAGGCGTACCCCGGCTCTCAAACTTCTGAAGATTGGCTTATGTGGCTTGGAGGGTCAGTAAGTTTGGCCACCCCTGTGATATAAATTAAATTAAACTAAATCAAATTAAAGTAGCCTTTTTTCTCTGAAATAGACGCTATGAACCAAGCAAAGCCACCGGTCTTGCGAACAGTTATACATACGCCTGTCTGACTTTACTTACATAGCTAGTCCCATTGAAGTTATGGAGCCGTAAGCATGTGATTAAAGCTATGCAAGTGTTTGCAGGATTAAGACCATAGTCATTTAAAAAAATGAACACAACTTTCTTTTGATTATGGCACCAAAATCTATCAGCTGAATGTAGAATGGGACATATTGCAAATGGATGTATTTCCCCATGTAAGATAAAACACGTTGGAATTATTCTCGCTGGCTAACAGAATACATCAGTGGTCACTCTATGTGTTGCACTCTCTCAACACATTTAGTGTGGTCAGAGTTAAATACATAGCAATGGTAGTATTTGTACAAGAGAAAGCATGACATCTGAGTTACAAGTTAGGATAGGAGTGTGGCTGTCAGGAATTGGATGTATGCATTATGAGTGATTCTAGATTTGACAAAGCATTTGCTATAGGAGATGGAGTCTGTGTGTCTTGGGGTAATATGATTGGCAAATCAAGTATGTGAAATGAGGTGCTGTGCAGGTTAATGTCTTAACTGGTGATTTCCTGGATGTTTGATGATTGCAATGATACAAAATGCATTTGAGCTACCTGTTTTTTAATGGGGCAATAATAAATGGGTTGGTGGTCAGAGGTTGATGGTTTCTTCCACACTGCTCTAGGTAGTGGGTATTTGAATGTAACAATTTTCTTGCTGTCATTCCAATACAGGATAGTATAGGAGGATATACAGGCACTCATTAGCTGAGAAGTAACTAAAAAAAGTCTATTCAGAGTCAGTTTGAAACAATAGTGCCTTTTTCTTAAGCTATGTATAAGCTCTCCCAGAAGTTATGTGCTTGATTCAGGAATCATGGGGTAAGGTTCTATGGCCTGTCTTATGCAGGAGTCCAAACTAGATGATTACCCCTTCTGGCCCTAACATCAATGATGCTATGAATCTGTGGCTTGCCGAAAATGAGCCGTGTTCAGGTGTGGGTGTTGAAATCCTGAGTATTTTTCTTTTTGTTTTGTTTTTAAATGTATGTGTCTTTTAAGAGCATGTGGTTGGATATTCCTCGACAAGTATTTGGCATGTTTGTACCGTGGCAGCTCCAGGGAAGTGAAGAGCTCCTGCTCTGTTGCTGAAATCAGTGGTACCCAAGAGTCTTTGTCATATTCGGACATCTGTTCTAAGCAGTTACCCCCAGGACCATCTTGTTCTTCTCAGTTTGACAAAATGTATTTTCCTCTTCTGACTCAGCAAATGTTTGGGCTAATCCCAGGATTAGTGATCTAGGGCTACATCATGATAGCCCTTACGTGGCTGTGCAGCGCAGTAGGAAGGAATAAGGATTCTTCTCACCTTTGCAGCTGTGTAAGATCCAGACACAACTGCAACCCCAGCAGCCAAAGGTGCAGAGGAGTGGCAGCCCGGATGCTCTCCCAAGGTGCAAGGAGAGGCAAAGATTAGGTGGAACCATGGCTCTGCCACCCACCCACGCTAGCCAGTGGAACTGGCTGGCCACATGAGTGAAGTATGCTGCATCCTTCAACGGGGTATAACAAATTACTCTGTCCATCTCCCATACAAGCAGGGAGCCCCACAAGGAGTTGTGCATCTCTGAGGCACAGTGCCTCCCAGGGATCCTCTATGCACTGCCACTTACTATGGGCTGCATGCTTAGTAATGATCCTCCTTGGTGAAGCCAATAGAACTATGCTGACTGACACAGCTGAGGATCTGGCCTGATATATTTTGAGGTGGTATCATGTCCTCCCTCATGTGGAGCCAGAGCAGATAAGAGGTAATGGATAAAGTAGGGGGAGAGAGAGAGACATTTGACAGCAATGCTGGAATAGAGTCTGAATTGTGCTGTTGGAAAGGATCTGGAAGAGGTTAGCTGGAGAAGTACTAGCATCCACAGAAAGAAAGGTGGCAGCAACACAATGGCGACATTAGGAAAAGTGCAGGAGTAATTAGTGCAGGGTTCTCAAACTGGGGGTTGGGACCCCTCGGGGTCACAAGGCTATTACATGGGGGGGTCACGAGCTGTCAGCCTCCACCCCAAATCCCGCTTTGCCTCCAGCATTTATAATGGTATTAAATACATTAAAAAGTGTTTTTAATTGATAAGGGGGGGGTCGCACTCAGAGGCTTGCTATGTGAAAGGGGTCACCAGTACAAAAGTTTGAGAACCCCTGAGTTAGTGCATTCTGTGGTGGTGCTGGAGGAACCTACGACCAGATGACCTGAACAACTAGATTTGACTATGAATTGTTGTCGTAATTCTGTTTAAACCCTCATGTTTCCCAGGTCAGTGAAAATCTTGGTGTCCTCATTAAAGTGTGTGATGTAATAAATAAATAATAATAATAATACCTATCTCGTATACAGTACTTTTCATCAGTAGATGTCAAAGCATTTTACAAAGAAGCTAAGTGGTATATCCCCATTTTACAGATTGGGAAACTGAGGCACTGTGATTATTTTTTCCCCCAAGGTCACTCAGCAGGCCAGAGTGAGAACCAGGACTAGAATACAGCTCTCCTGAGTCCCAGTCCAGTTCTCTAGCCACTAGGCAACATGGCCTCTGTATAGCAGGGATATTTAATTTTTGTTTGTTTCTGCAATATATATATGTGAATGGGTTGGGTAGTTAGTTCTGACTGCATTTGCACATTTATTTTTTATATATGGAGTCCTTTTGATTGTTCTCTAGTTTTCTACTAAATATGTTTTTTCACGGTGACATGCATTATGTGGCACTTGACTGGGCTAAGGAGTATTATGCATTCAGCTTAATTTCTGGTATGTATGTTCAGAGAGTCTATATTAGAAAATTACTTATGCCACCACACATGGCCTCCCTCCAATTCCCCCAGCGCTCAATACGGAATTAGGCTCATCAGAGCAGGACTTCCCTCTTGCAGGGCAAAGGAAGTTTGTCAGACACAGAATGTGTCTCCTCATTAGCAGAAGTGCAAGCTCTCATGCTCTGCCTCAATGGGCAGTAACTCTTCTCCTCGCCTGCCCTCTATGTTTGATAGGGGCTAACGTATGGGGACAGGTAG